GATAATGAAAGTGTTGAACCTGCTTATCTAAACTAAATACAAACCAGCCAAACTAGTAAATAACCCAGGAAAGGGTGACTTGCCTTTGTATATAAACATTCTTTTTCCATCATGCTTTGCTCTTATTCAAGTTTATAAAATACTACTCTGCTTTATATAAAATTAAACTGGCTAAAGTGACAGGACTTCTAATATACATCCACTGAGTATTTATATTCATGTGTCGTTTAGGAAAAATAAAAACTACAAAAGAATAAAATAAGAGCGTAAAATTAAACCTGAAACATACAGAACGCACTGTACTCGTATTGTACAACAACACTTTGGACTAGGTAACTTAGACAAACATATGCAACCATACGGAGTTAGATTAACAAGCTTTTTCAACTAGGAATTAAAACAACGATTCCTGGATGCTACATCTCTAGCGCTACCTGACATGCTAACAAGACGAGAGTGCAGAATAGGGTTGCAAAGGGAGGGAAAAGACTTTTCCCATCAAGTTTTTTTCCAAATGTACAGTACGTCACCGTCAATTTACATGACTGTTGCAACCCTCATCTTTATTGGACCTGGACTAGGGAGAACAAGACGCAAATGACAAAAATACATCAAATTCCCAACTATTTTCTGCACTAACCTAATGTGGCTCGACAGCAAACAAAGTATTCTACGCTTTTTTGTGTGTGTAAATCAACAAGTCTCACGGTGTACTGGATTACACTATTGACAGGTCTCACACTTCTGTTTGAATTCTGTATGTTAGATGCAAGAAGCTCACTAGAGTGACTTTTTGCTATTTAAGTTTTCAACGTGTCTCATGCAACTCTGAAGGAAATAATTGTTAGGTTATGTATAACATACAGCTTAAATGACCTGCAGCTTCCTGGCTAATGTTTTATTTAAGCCATGTCTTATAGACACAATTATCCCTAATATGTTTACACACTTTCATTGCTAGAAGTGCTTCTGGGAGCTGTAACAATCTAATCACTATCAAGCAGTTTAAAATACACCATCTATTCTCTCAGGACAAGCTACATCTTGAGAATGTGATGTCTTAACAAGTAACCAATAAAAATTTTTTAGTACTATTTCTGGCATAACAGGATTCAAAACATAAATTGGGGGCTCGTCCGGGATACCAGGGACCGGCTGCATAAAAGACTAGTCTTACAAGTTAAGTCATCAATTTTTTTTTCTTTAAGACTGGTCATATTTAATTCTGTTACATAAAAACGTAGATTTGTCTATGTTGAATCCAAAAAATAAAACTTATTACCGTTTGGCTAACTGCTAGTTGGTCAGACTAGTTCTTAAGACACTGTC